TATATATATATCTCCAGAATTCAATAAATCACGCACTCAAAAACTTGTCAAACGTTACAGTAACTGTAACAAAAAGAGAGGAGCTTGAAAAACAAACCATGCGAGGTTCACAATAGCCTGACAGCTTGGTCTGAACACAACTGAACTCACACATCAACGCATTTCGCGGTCGAACTCTCAGCAGCAACCAAAGCGTGCTCTCATAAAGAAACACGTGAACAACAAACACAGTTCCTTTCCTAATCTACAAAAAAAACAACAACAACACCCCACACTTCTCGTACCGAAAATTATTAAAAGAGGCACACTTAAAACTAATTCTAGCGGCCCAAAATTAGGAGCAACCGTAAGTAAAATAAACAAAATCACAGTCAAATACTAGAAATTTCACTCTGAACTCTCAACAAGGCATGCCTTCAAAATGACAGGAACCTTATTCCCATATTTTTTTTTTTACGAGAACTACTTAACACACTACATGTCACATTACTGAAAAAGATGCCCTGCACACACTATGATTGTGAATCTTTAAATCCCACTCCCACTATGCGACAATGGCGTGGGAGTTAAAATCCTCTCATTCAAGACACGGGTTTTTTTCCAAAACATTACTGCGTGCTTCCAAACGCCCGTCTCACACAAAAGACAGTCCAAAACTGAGAACAATATGCAGTGATCAAAATAAACGACGAGAACATCACGTCACGTGCATCATACGGGAGCCACTTCGTCACCAGGCCTATATTTTATACCAGTTTATCGCTGATCTCACTCTAAAACCCAGAAAAAAAGTGGCTTTAAACTCCATTTAAAAAACGAGGGACGTGTGATGGCTCTTCCAACGCGTAACACTTAAAAGTCAATAACAGCAACATGACACACAGTTCTGGCAGGTGAGATGTGCAATATCAACACCCCAGAAAAGTTATCAGTGCTCGCAAATGGCGAAACACAGTGTTGATCCGATATCTGCACAGTATGATAAAGATTATATCAGCATTCTGGATTGCCAGACGCCCTTCTGAACGTCTGAAGTTTGTCAATTAAAAAACAAAAACAAAACAAAACAAAACAAAAAAACAACTGACGACATCATGCTATCTCCATTGCAGTGAGGCACGCAATCCGTCCAATTGATAACTGAAGTGGAATTCAGTACCGCCGTCATAAAAAACTGTATTTGCAGATTTTA